TGAATCCATTTGAACGCTGACTGGTTTTCTTACATCCACTGGAACTTTTTTCTTATCTAATTTATGAAAAAAAGTTTTTCACAAATTAATTGAGGACAAATGACGAGTATTTGTTCAAAGTAACTTACAACTGCTAATGGAATTTGTATGAAATGTAAATTATCAATGAGAGTGTGCAAATCTGACATTTTCGAGATCACTTTATTCATGATTTGTCGAAGAAAAACTAAAATATCCCATTTCCGCCTTATGATTGTCTTGTGCGTTCGATATCAACCCTCCTATATATTGAATAAAAGATATACCTGACACAAAACTAAGAAAAACGTATGTTCAATGACAAATTAATACTTAGTGCAAAGCGATGCTGACATATTTTATCTCAGAAATAAAAAGCCGAAATTTTGTTTTAGGCTACAAACATGAGTCCAAAAAGTAGTTCTGTGTTATTCAAACCTACAAAATTATGTACTGAAGAATAAAAATGTTTTTTGAGTAAAGGAATATCTTTATCACAAAAAATTACATAAATGTATACTGAATATATTTATGGTTAATTATGAATCGAATCTAAACAGTACGACATCAGTAAATTTATGTCTCATAACTGATAATCATTTAGCTAAAGATTGTGTTAGTTGTAACCAAATAATAGTATGGTTTATATTTTATCTGGTTAGTGCATTAGGCAAATTCTATTTCATTATATAGTATCATAGAATATCGAATCGATGTTTATTAACATAAAATAACATCGAAGCAACATCCATTGACTTTGAATTAATTATTGACCTACCAATTTTGAAGAGATCAGTATGGCCATCAGACAGATAATGAGCAGCAAAGCAACAAGAATGGAAAACATTCTAGTAGAGGTAATGAAAGCAGATGTAGCAGTAACTGCAAAGATGTGCCACCTTCTATTCATTAAGACTTCGGAGGAGGAACAAGTACCAAAAGACTAGAAAGAAGGACACCTCATGAAATTACGAAAAAAGCAATCTCCCAAGGAAGAGTTTTTAATAGAGTGTTGTTAAACAAAACGAAGAACTCCGTAAACGCCAAACTTCGAGATACCGAACAAAAAGCAACATTACGGATCATAGTGAAACAATCAACTGAGTGAAACCAACCACTCTACACCAACTATAACTACGAGAAAGCATTTGATAGCATAGAAAGGACAACAATAAGTAGACTTCTTCAACACTACGGCGTGCCTGAAAAGATAGTCAACACTATACGGAATTCTCATGATCGATCAAAATGCGAAATCGTTCACAGAGGATAGCTGACAGACTCGTTCGAGGTGAAGACCGGTATCAGGCAACGTTGCTTATTTTCACCCTTCCTCTTTCTCCTGATGATTGATTGGATTATGAAGACGTCAACATATGAAGGGAAGCACGGTATACAGTGGACAACTAGAATGCATCTAGACAATCTGGACTTTGCAGATGATCTGGCTCTTCTATCGCAGAAGCAATAACAAATGCAAGAGAAGACAACCCGTGTAGAAGCGGCCTCAGCAGCAGCAGGTCTCAACATACATAATGGGAGAAGCAAGATCCTTCGATACAACACAGCACGCACCAACCAATTCTCACCAGATGGATAGGATTTGGAGGACGTAGAAACATTTACATATCTGTGCAACATCATTGACGAGCAAGGTGGATCTGATGCAGATGTGAAGAAACGGAAGAGTAAACGCAGTATTTCTTCAATTTATGAACGTCTGGAACTCAGAACAACTATCAAACAACACAGAAGTCAGAATTTTCAATACAAATATCAAGACACTTCTACTGTATGAGACGAAAATATGGAGGAGAACCACGAAGGTCATCATGTAGAAGATACGAGTGTTTATTAATAGGTATATGTGCAAGATATTGTGGATCCGTTGGCTAGACTGCACCTTTAACAACCTACGGTGGTGGAGAACGAACCAGGTTCCAGCTGATGAACAAATCATTAAGAAGCGCTGGAGGTGGACAGGACACACATTGCGGAACGCATCCAACTGCGTTGCAGGAGAAGCCCTCACTTAGAACCCTCTTGGTTGAAGTAAAAGAGGAAGGCCAAGGAACATATTACATCGAGAATCGAAGTCATATATGAAAAGAATGAACAAAAATTGAACATAATTTGAAAGGAAAGCCCAGGATAGAGTAGGTCGGGGTTTATTGGTCGGTTGCCTATGCTGATTGAGTGTTACTGACGTAAGCTGGTAAGTGAATAAGTAACTATATATCATTCAGTAACAGTTCATCTCTCATGTCCATAAAGTTTAGCTATGATCAGTTCTATTAGTATACACTATCTACATGCAGCGACTGCTTCATGGGAATATTACAAGTCCAATCTCACTGATTTATTTATAACGAGTACTTTAGTATACACTATTCAGCTAATGTGAGTGCAGTTGGCCTGTGAAATGCACGACATCATTCGTCATGTAAAGTACATCAGTGTATTTGTTGCCTTGTACTCCTAAACACAGTAAACAAAGAAGTCTAACATTTTGCGTTTCATGCTCAATGAATTCCAGACACATAAGCTCAGATTATAACGAGTGAATATATATATATATATATATATATATATATATATATATATATATCATGTGCTTAATTTATTACTCTGTCACTTCCATTATCATAAAATCAAATAATATTTAATAAAACTCAATTGGCTTAATATCCGCACCGGTAAATGGCTGATGACTGTTTTCATAAAGTGAAACATCGGAAGGACTCAAGGTGTGGATTTTGTTGCCAGGTCGTACAGTTTGAATTTCTACAAATAGGACAACAAAAATGATTAGACTATAATCAGTGCTAGTTTAAAATATTGATCTGATCTTCTCACTACATTATTTTACTTAAAAGCATGTTACGAAATCATTTATTTTTACGTAAAACTATGTTTATTACAATCATTAGCAGCATCACAACATGAAGATTTACAAACTTTGTCATTAGGAATAAGGTGTGAAGACGAATTATGTCTTCCTAGTTTATGACCTACAATCCGACAATAAATTCGTTCAAGCCACTGACTAAGGACCTGATGAGAAATATCTCCACCTCATAGCATGATTATCATCCACCACCATTCATAGATGATTATTTCATTACCGACAATAATTTGTGTTCTTAGACTGTAAATTATTACAATAAATTCGAGAAATTCATTTCGAAACTCGTTGAACTAAACATTTAATTATTATTAGGACAACTTTTTTACTCTTATTCATTCAGTGTGAAGAAGTTCCTTATCACCATTATCCGGTTGAAAATTGGAAACTATTTACTGCCTAAAAGTTGATTTTTTCACTGTCCTTTTACCGATGCTCTATTTAATTTTTCAATTTATACTATAGAACATTTGATGATCACATAATAAATAGTTATTAATCCGTTACAGACTACAGCAATTTCAGTGTTTTATGTTAATACTGTGGCAAATTCTTATCCAGTTCTCACTTCTATTGATAAGTTATGAATTTTGACACAATATCGACCGATTATTATTTTTCAATTTGGTTCGTTAACTTCTGTAAACGGTCTACGCTTTAGATAAAGTACACTTTATCTTGATGGCTAAACTCAAAAATATAAAATCTAACAAAACTTTTTATTTTGAATTAGAGTTATGGAGATTAGTGTTTTTACACAATTGAAATCATCAATCAATCATTATCAGACCACCTTTGGAAACCTGTAAGCACTGGACGGCCGTTTCGTCCTGGTATAGGACTCATCGTCAGTGCTCATCCACGAATCCTGCACATCACAGGAATCGAACCCGGGACCTTCGGTCGTATGTGCGAACGCATAACCTCTGGATCATTGTTTAATTAATCTTCAAACACCAACGTTCATACTTTTATAAAAAATAATTTCCATACCTTTCGGTTGCCTTTGAATTGTTTTTTGTTTCTCATTGTGTCGCTGATTACTAGTGTCGATGAATTTTTTTGTCATAATCAGTTCCGTTGGTACTGTTAAAGAGAGAAAAGTAATGATCGCTAAATATTATACATTGATTTTATTAATGATCAGAAATTCTATGAAGAAAACAAACGGTACGTTTTGTCTGCCGTGACAGATTATCCGAAATCACTTGACTAATATTTATTTTTTAAATTACTGTCAGTTAACCGATAATCCAGTATGTTTTGTATTATTATTAACTAAGAATATTATTTATGAAATGTGATGCATGCGTTAGACAGGTGTTTCATTTTTTCATAATAAAGTTGTTTGATAAATGTTCCAGACTTATGACTGATAAATAAATTAGAGCTGAATAATTTGCATTCTGAAACAATTATAACTAATTGATTGTACTGAAATAGATAATAACAGTACAAAGTCTTAAGCGAAGTAACTGGCACAATGCTTTAGTTCAAGTTTACATATGACCGTTAGTTTAAAAGATCAGACATCATGTAAAGTATATTTTGATGCAGTAAAGTTGAAGGTGAATGGTAGAAAAGCTTATTCCTTTTTCGATACCATTCCAAACAAATGCATTTGAAATTGTTGTTCACTTTCATATCTAATATCACCGAATTCTACTATCAAAGACACCATCGAAATTGAGCTAAGTAGGTAACGTCTTGGTGTACAATATTTCATAATATCGGTTCAAATATAAAAAATAAAGAAATAATTTTGAAAAAAATTCTCTTGTAAAAGATTTTCAACTAGGACGATTAGTTATTCAATACTTATGCTATAATTACAAAACGTTTCAATTTAACTGACTTAATATACACTTAGCATTATAAATGTAAATATAAGGTTCCAAATGTTCATTTTAAACCATGCTTTTATCTCGACATAAAATGAACGTTTTATATCTAATAAACCCGTGCTTTTCTTCAACTCATACTCAAACACATTGGTAAACAGGTCTTAAACATAAACGTCATGATTGAATAAATAGATTCTTTTAAATGAAAATTACTACCTACTTTATTATTTTTTTTATTTTAATGAAGCATTATGAATTCTAGTTTTGCTTTACTTTATTCACTACATGACTATTTGAAATTAAACAAAAGTAGTTTTTAGTATTCATTAAATTAGAAAGACTACTTACCACAAACATAAACTAAACTAAGGTGCATTTTTCCACATTTCTGTATTTCATTTATCGACAAATCAATTGTATTTGGATTAATTGAACACGAACCACGTCCATCACATGTATTGCTCAAATAATTTGTAATGTCTATTGTAGATGAACATATACTGTTTGACAATCCAACTGACAGAGATGATGTAAAGAATTTAATATAAGTAAAACAATTAAATCAGTATAAAATATATTTAAAGATGATAAACATATATTTACACTTTGATAATTCTCCTTCATTATTATTATTGTTTTTAAAATTATTTTCAGCTAGTTAGAAATCATCATTTACTATCTCTGGTACCGGTAAAACACCTCAAAATAAAATGAAATATCTGCATAATATTCTTGCTGGTCGTGAAGCTGAGACCATTGAGAATGTATCAAATATGTTTATCGAGTTAACGAAACCAAACGAACTGATTTTTCCAATCATTCGTCTTGTGAAGAACAAAACTTAACGAATAATACTGACTTGTTATTATTTTTCCAAAAGTTGTCAGCTTCTTCATAGAAATCGGATGAATTAATCATTCATTTTATTATCATTTGCATAATAATTATTAATGTATTACAAATAGCTAATAATTTTGTTTGGAAGAGCACTGTTTCGATTGTACATAATTTACTGTAAGAAATCTTTTCTGTACTGTTAAATTGCGTTTTGAATTTTTTACTGTCGCACCTCCTAAACGGTTTTCCTTAAAATTTTAGATATTCAGGATCAATAACATAAGACTGTCTTTACCAAACGCTGTCGCAAGTCCTTCGGATTGAATAAAGAATGAATGGAAGATGTTTACATGCCTTTTCACACAATATTGCTGAAGAAATAATACTCTCATTGTCTGACATTTTAAGGCATGATCATCTGCATTTAACTCCTTTCTAAATTGTATCCTCTGTAAGATCAAAAGGTATTCGTAAGTTATTAATATCAAGTCGTAGACAACTGTAGAGATTCCAGTGTACCTTGTGTCTGTCGGATTCATCATACTGAGGCTGTAGGCAGAGAAACAGGTATTGATAGCAGATTGACGGATAAAGTTAAGAATATGTCATAAACTGAAATAGTTAAGACATATGCATATTACTTACCACGAGTGGAAATGGTAACTGGTGTAAGTGCAGATTGGAGAAACATTAAGGAAACTGACAACAGAACTTGGCTTCAGTTCATGGGTACACTGATTGTTAGACTGAGATGTGTAGGTAGATGGAGAAAACTGGTGGCGGTCCTCACAATTATTGCAATTAGTCTTCAAAAACATTGAGTTAGATAGTCCAGAATCGATGACAGTGGCGAACGGGAAGTCAATCCTGTACACCTTTAAGATACTAAAATTTGGTTGTTTTCAATTAATGATACCAGGAATCCACATTTCCTTCTCGGATCATATGCTCCTTATTTTCTCTATTACGACCAATAATTCTAGTATGCCTACTACTCCGTGATTCAAGTTCACAAATTCATTTCTTTGTGTTAGAGATGTTTCAACTCGGACTTATTTAGTTGGGCATGTTTCCACAAGTACAGCATAGGCCGCTGACCAGCATTCAGCAACATACTGTTCTCGGGCTTCTTGCCAGTTTTTTCAAAAGGGTATTCATTCTTTTCATATATGACTTCGATTCTCGATGTAATATGTTCCTTGGCCTTCCTCTTTTACTTCAACCAAGAGGGTTCTAAGTGAGGGCTTCTCCTGCAACGCAGTTGGATGCGTTCCGCAATGTGTGTCCTGTCCACCTCCAGCGCTTCTTAATGATTTGTTCATCAGCTGGAACCTGGTTCGTTCTCCACCACCGTAGGTTGTTAAAGGTGCAGTCTAGCCAACGGATCCACAATATCTTGCACATATACCTATTAATAAACACTCGTATCTTCTACATGATGACCTTCGTGGTTCTCCTCCATATTTTCGTCTCATACAGTAGAAGTGTCTTGATATTTGTATTGAAAATTCTGACTTCTGTGTTGTTTGATAGTTGTTCTGAGTTCCAGACGTTCATAAATTGAAGAAATACTGCGTTTACTCTTCCGTTTCTTCACATCTGCATCAGATCCACCTTGCTCGTCAATGATGTTGCACAGATATGTAAATGTTTCTACGTCCTCCAAATCCTATCCATCTGGTGAGAATTGGTTGGTGCGTGCTGTGTTGTATCGAAGGATCTTGCTTCTCCCATTATGTATGTTGAGACCTGCTGCTGCTGAGGCCGCTTCTACACGGGTTGTCTTCTCTTGCATTTGTTATTGCTTCTGCGATAGAAGAGCCAGATCATCTGCAAAGTCCAGATTGTCTAGATGCATTCTAGTTGTCCACTGTATACCGTGCTTCCCTTCATATATTGACGTCAGTCAGTCAGTCAGTTGCAACGTAGAACTTCGTACGTATGTACATAAGTTCATGTTGCCATACCACATTATTAGCACAGAGACGCAAATGTCAAATCAAATCCCATAGTGATAAAGATAGAAGAGGTATTAATGTTAATAAAGAAGACTAGGGTTCGAAGATATTATTCAAAAAATATAATTCAGTGAGATAAGGTTAGAAAGACAAAGGTAAAGGTGCTGGCTAATCCAGAAGATTAGGATTTGAGAGAGCTCAAAGAGTGGATGCACCGGCGCCATTGCAAACGATTTTGAGCCATGTCGTTCAAGGTCTCTAACCATTGATGACTTTCGTCTCGCGGACCCCAACCAGGTAGTCTACATCTACCAACATGACTCAGTCCACTTGTCAGTGACTTCATGGATTTCTGCCATGTTTTGGTCTGGCCGCCCCTAGCTTTCTTCCAACCTACTCCTACGCCACAAAACATAGCTCGTCGAGGCAGTCGGTGGTTAGGCATACGTAACACATGTCCCAACCACCTCAACTGATGAAGTTTCGCCACTTCATCGATTGATCTGCCATCCTTACCTAGTACTCGTTTCCTAACGACAGCATTGCTTACTCGGCTGTCCCACGATATACGAGCAATGCTTCTTAAACATCTATGATCGAATACTAGTAACCTACGAACATCTTCTACTCTTAACGGCATGTTTCACAGCCATATAAGAGAACGGAACGAACTGCTGCGCAGTACACCCGCCCTTTGGTTAGCGAACGGATATCACGCCTACGCCATAAGTGACGCAGGTTGGCAAAAGCCAATCGAGCCTTCTGTATCCGAGCTGAGATTTCGTCAGTCACCAGACCGTCAGCACTGATGAGACTCCCAAGATAAGTGAAGTGATCTACACGCTCGACTACTTCACTTCCTATCACTAGTTCAGGTGCCGAAGCAACCCAGTCTTGAAGCAACATTTTGCATTTCGAGGGGGAAAACCGCATCCCGAACATGCTCGCATTGTTGTTTATGGTAGTCAGAAGACTCTGCATTTTGTCAGCGTCTTCACCGAATAGAACTATGTCATCGGCGTATTCTAGATCAGTAAGCGACATTCCTGGTAGAAGGTCAACCCCTGAAAAATCTGACGAGCTTAATGTTAACTCTAAGAGGATGTCTACGACAAAGTTGAACAAGAATGGAGAGAGTGGACATCCCTGACGGACACCACTTGATGTAGAGAATTCAGATGACAGTACGCCATATGCTCTCACCCGACCAGTGGTGTTCGAGTAGAGTGCTTGTATAAGGTTAATGTACTTCTTTGGTACACCTTTCAATGACAGACACTGCCACAGAACCTCACGATCCACTGAGTCAAATGCCACCTTAAGGTCCAGGAACACGACTATTGTCGGACGTCTAAATGTGTGTCTGTGTTCCAGGACCTGTCGTAGTGTGAAGATGTGGTCTATACAACCATGTCCAGGTCGAAAACCAGCCTGGTTTTCTCGAGTCTGCTCTTCACGAGCACTAGTAAGGCGTCTAAGTATAATCGAGGCTAACAATTTAGAAACTATATTAGTTAAACTTATTCCCCTGTGATTGTCACAAGAGGACTTCTGTCCTTTCTTGTAGATTGGGACTGAGACCAGTCAGATAGGATTACGTCCATTTCCCAGATTCTACCTAGGATCTCGGTCAGTCTAACCGTTAAAACTGGACCGCCATCCTTAAACATCTCAGGGGTAAGCCTATCGGGACCTGCCGCTCTACCTCTCCTTAGATTTCCTATAGCTTTCTCAACCTCATGTAAACTGGGAGGACTTAAATCGATTTGCCATTCAGGATGATTGGAGATCGTGGGCAACCGAAGAGTGGCTGAAGGCCAGTTGAACTGATCCCTAAAGTGTTCTGCCCATCGGTCCAGCCTCCTAGATTGAGAATGGATAATTAGACCATCCTTTTCCGAGATAGTCTCACTCACATTCGGGTTCCTAATACCGGTTTCTTTGATAAGGCGGAAAAGTTGTCTAGTGTTGCCTATCGCCGCTGCCTTTTCCATCGCTTTTGCTTTCGCCACCCACCACTGTTCGCGGTCGTTACGTAGGCTTTTTATAAGTCTGCACCTAAGCTGACTACGCTCTTCATCATGTTCAGAGTCAGGTGGGATGCGTTTTCGAGCATCCATCAGTTTGGTGGATGCGACTGAAATCCACTGCTTCATCCTAGCATTGTGGTTTACCTTGCTAGCAGATACCATTGCTGTTTCCACAGCCTTCTTGATATGATTCCAACCTGCTTCAAGATGGGAATCACTTGCATGGCCGCCTAACTGTTTTTCTAGTTCCTCCTGAAATATTTTCTTAGCTTCATTATCATCAAGTAAAGCCCTAAGAGGCTTCCTTACGGTGTCTTTCCTACGTCCAGCAAGCCTCAAACAAATACGTGCTCGCACTAGGGCATGATCTGAATCTAAACATGTGCCCCAGAACGAGCGACAGTCCTCTATCGAACCCCTCCATCGGTGGCTGATGGCGATATGATCTAGTTGTGTCCAACGTTGGGACGACTTCGGGGGTCGCCAGGTCAAAAGGTGTTTTTCCTTATGCTTAAAATTAGTGTTTGCTAGAAATAGTTGGTTATCTGAGCACAGTTGCAACAGACGCTCGCCATTGTCTGTTCTTTGAGCCGCGAGACCGTAACATCCACCTAGGTGTCTTTCATTTTCACTTAGTCTACCTACTTGTGCATTAAAGTCACCAGCCATTATAACTATATCAGAGCGCTTAACTTTTTGGAGGAGGTCCGAAAGCTTTCTGTAAAACTCATCTTTTACATCATCTGGGCTGCAGTCAGTGGAGGCGTAGGCTGAAATGACGAAGAGGCAACGGTGAGTGTCCCTATCTTTCCGAGTCCTTACTGTCCCGTTCAATCGGACGGCGCACAAGCCACTATCTACAGGGATCCATTCAAGGAGAGATTGTTCTGCCCTACGACTCAATGCTATACCTACACCGGCGAGGCCCCTAGAAGCAGCATCAGGGCTACCGGATACACGAAGGGTAAATCGAGCTGCTTCTTTATCTTGACATGGTGAGGTCAAATGGGTGATGCTACTCGGATCCTGTATGCGCGTTTCCGAGACGCAGCACATCGATGGAACGAGATTCTAAAGTCCTAGCTAATGACGCCTGTTGCCCTATTTGACACAATGTCCGTACATTGAATGCTCCAACATGTAGTTTGGAACGGGGTTTAAGGAGACCAAGAACGATGTTTCGCAAACTCGCATCGTTTGCATTAGCTGTGCACTGTAATAAATGAATGTGAGAAGAGTTAGTTGTGGAGATAAGAGAGGTATTAGGGAATGTAGGAAAGATTTGATTTTGAACAATTTTGTCTCGTGTGCTGTTGCGGGTATGAGGGTCATATGTTGACGTCTTCATAATCCAATCAATCATCAGGAGAAAGAGGAAGGGTGAAAATAAGCAACGTTGCCTGATACCGGTCTTCACCTCGAACGAGTCGGTCAGCTATCCTCTGTGAACGATTTCGCATTTTGATCGATCATGAGAATTCCGTATAGTGTTGACTATCTTTTCAGGCACGCCGTAGTGTTGAAGAAGTCTACTTATTGTTGTCCTTTCTATGCTATCAAATGCTTTCTCGTAGTTATAGTTGGTGTAGAGTGGTTGGTTTCACTCAGTTGATTGTTTCACTATGATCCGTAATGTTGCTTTTTGTTCGGTATCTCGAAGTTTGGCGTTTACGGAGTTCTTCGTTTTGTTTAACAACACTCTATTAAAAACTCTTCCTTGGGAGATTGCTTTTTTCGTAATTTCATGAGGTGTCCTTCTTTCTAGTCTTTTGGTACTTGTTCCTCCTCCGAAGTCTTAATGAATAGAAGGTGGCACATCTTTGCAGTTACTGCTACATCTGCTTTCATTACCTCTACTAGAATGTTTTCCATTCTTGTTGCTTTGCTGCTCATTATCTGTCTGATGGCCATACTGATCTCTTCAAAATTGGTAGGTCAATAATTAATTCAAAGTCAATGGATGTTGCTTCGATGTTATTTTATGTTAATAAACATCGATTCGATATTCTATGATACTATATAATGAAATAGAATTTGCCTAATGCACTAACCAGATAAAATATAAACCATACTATTATTTGGTTACAACTAACACAATCTTTAGCTAAATGATTATCAGTTATGAGACATAAATTTACTGATGTCGTACTGTTTAGATTCGATTCATAATTAACCATAAATATATTCAGTATACATTTATGTAATTTTTTGTGATAAAGATATTCCTTTACTCAAAAAACATTTTTATTCTTCAGTACATAATTTTGTAGGTTTGAATAACACAGAACTACTTTTTAGAAGTTCTGGATTGAATTCTTGCGTGATCGGTTCTTCTGTTGAATCCATTATTTTTAGGAAACAATTGTCTAATAATATCTGATGTTTGATGATTTTTTTTCGAAGGTCTAACCATGGTGTTTCTATCTTTATATCTGATACTAAGGAATTCACATCCATGTCACTCAAAATTTAAAAGGTTCAAACAAAATAATAAATATTTGAGAAACTTATTATCCATCGTCTTAAATTAACAAATATTTTTTTTAATGTTTGTTATATTATTGCTGAGTAAAAGAATTATCTAGATATACAAAGAAATGTAAATAATGAAATAAACTAAATTTTCTTCTGATAACTAATTATTCACTTAGTTATGAAAAAAATGTTTGTTGATTGATATACTAATTATTATTGTTGTCATTTTCTAACGATATATTCATGTAAATGCTGATTTATTCGATCTGCCAAAATATACATAAAGCAAGTAATTAGTAATACCTTGAAAAAAATATAGTGAGCTTCGCGAAAACAATTTGAACAAAGAGAGTACACTACAATTTCAATTCAATCGAGATATGTCTATGCTAATAAAGTTATACTAATAAGTTTCAAATAAAAGCTCTTTAAGCAAATAATGATTGACGTCAACTAACTTGCTGTTTCAGTTGGAGCAATCGGACATTCATGAAGTGAAGTAGCATTAAATGATTTAATTTCTTTTTCAAATTTTGCACTAAGTACAACCAGAGCATTTAAAGAACGTTCTGTATTACAGTTTACCTCCATATATGTGTCTGTACAAATTGCTTCAAATAAAGCTGAGCCAAGATCTGAAATATAAATAAAGATATTGAATATTGTGCAAAAATAAGTAAAGTAACTTTTTGAGTGTTTATCTCCACTAGTACTTTAGTATAAATCACCTCAAAATCGGCAGCAATGACTAAAATTCATTTTTTCTAAATCACTTTGCAAATAATTCAGAGATGTCAGTATTAAAGTTAATTATCGAGTAGGTGATAAGGCAATTAAATCCTACTGTTTATTTTCACACTCTAGTAGTCTACGACAACTTTATGTCTTAAGACCTTTCAGTTTTAACACAGATGATGAATACTATAATGTTCAGAAATTTACCTGTTGCTTAGTTTTCAAAAATATCTGATCAAATAAATAGTTTTTAATCTTAACAAATTAAAGCGTATCTCGTATAAATGTTATAAATGAACTTATATTTTATGTTATAATACCTATATTAAGAGATTGATAAAATAATCAGCTCTTAAAAATTAATTTTCTCTTATATTTCCTGTTATATTCAGAATCTTATGAATTTCTTCTCTGTCTGATAAAAAATTTTTTGTTCAATATGAATCTCAATTCCTTCATAAATTCAACAATGAGTATTATTTGTTGGCTCTGTAATTTTTTTTAAAAAATTAGCAATATTTACCCTTATTTTGTAAAATTTAGAAATATGTTATAAACTAGACATAAAATATTACGGAATGACGTCTATTCAAAATGCTTTAGGTATAGTGCATATCAAGATACAAAATAATAATAAGGTAACCACTAACCAGGCAAACATTGGTATTTAACTAGAACAGAAGTAGTTTCTTCTTCAAAGCACTGAGTTGAATTAAGTATTAGGTGAGATATTGGTAGTTCACAAGTTCTTTTTCCATCACACATTTGTTTAAGTGACTGAAATTAAGAGAAAAAAATTATAAAACATTATACGTGAATTTATCAATTCTAAAATTTTACAAAAAATTTGGTATTTTATTCTATATGAGTAAGGAAAAGTAACTAATTTTACTTGAATTAGAGACTTTTTCTTTCAGTCCTCTAAAAGCATGAGGAAATGAATAAATTTGCGCTTAAGATAAGCAGTTGTTGTACATTTTTGAGCAATATTATACAAAATACCACAGTGTCATGATCAAAGATTACTAAAGTTACCGATAAAGTTATTTCAGAGTTAGACATTGACGTCATTGGATGCCAACTCAGTGGTTCAGAGGTCAAGCGTTTATGTGCTAGATAGAAGATCTTTGGTTCGATTGCCACTTGAGGGGTTGTAGATTTTCGCTACTAATGAATCCCATACAAAGACAAAATGGCTATCCACTGCTTCCAGGCTTCTAATAGTGGTCTTATATTGAATGATCCATGATTTTATTCAAATAATTTTTATGAGCTGTATAAATATTTTACATGAAATGTTTTTGTTATCGCTGGTTGTTAAAGATGAATAAAGGAATATTTTAGAGGTTAACATTGAAACGATTGCCTCACATTGTAAAGTCGTGAATTATGTTGTGCTAATTAGCTGTTAGCACGCATTTTAAGAGACGATATGACTAAGTAGTAAGGTTGAGTTGAGCGTTAAAACTAATTTATGATGTCAAAGATGAAAAAATGAAAACGAAAATCGTGAACCGATAAATAATGACACTTTAAATAAAATTTAATAATTTGTCGAAGTTTGATGGATTGTTAAGGAATTGTTTATTGTTTATTGTTGATCAAATTTTTCCGTAAATAGTTTGATTTTTAATCTAGATTACACAATCTTTTTACCTTTGACATCAAACAGTAATATCTAGCAGCAAACATTGAATCTAAAAAGTCACCCCTTGTAAATTATATTATTAATTTCAAATTGTATTTTGTTTAAACAAATCTTTAATCTTTTTTAAGCTATCATTATTCCTTTTTTAATTGCAAAATTTTGTTTTTAAAAGAATTAGTTAGGCTGAAAAAATTTAGCCGTCCAACCGTTCTAAAAATTTAACAAACCACAACTTAAACATACTTCAATTATTCTCAGTCGATTGTTACATTTTGTGGCCTGTTTACTCTTTGATTCGTATTTTCCCTTTTTTCCAGCTATACTTGTTTTAAACGAACAACTTGGACTAATAAATTCCGGTTCTTGGATAGCTTGAAAACTACGAAAATCTTCAGCATCTAGTGTTCTAATATACATATTTGTTGGGCAGTGTAGTTGCATAAGATCTGGAAGACAAACAAGTAAGGATGTCTTTCGAAAAACACTGAATCTATCCATTTTACTGAGGTTATCTGTACAAAGAACAAAATAAGATATTATTATTAGGAAAAATGGTGTGAAAGTATTAACAATCGATTTGCTTACAGAGAAACAATGATAATTCAGGTAAGGATAAAAACAGCTGTTTTGTTGAACGGAAGTAAGTGTTTAGATTTTCGTGTTTTTCCAAACGTTTTAGGTCCAACGCCAAATGATTTTAAAGCACTGTAAAACGTGGAATAAATTGTGTGCTTTTTAGTTGGCTACTCACATATAATAGCTGTTTGAAATGAATTAGAAAACATAACGCTTACATAACTTTTATAAAATTATGTATCAATAGACAAACGTTACAATGTGTCGCATATACTTATTGTACATAAATGTCACGGTACGATCAGACATTCATGTAACTCACTTAAAGGCATTAGTTTTATGCTTGGAACGTATTAGATTATATAATTTTTCAGTAAATAAAACAAGATTTTGGTATCATTAAACTGACCAAAGTTAGAAATTTAATGAAAACAGATGATTTATACTAGCGAGCAACTTGTCAACAGTGTATATCCACATCGATATCACAGACTTGGCTCAGATCCTTTGGTCTCTTGGCGAGTTTTCGATCTTCAAACCACTGAACCGGTAGCCAATTATGTATGCATCTAACTATACATCTAGGCACAAACCTCGAGCCTAACTGCTTTGAGGTAAACTGTAGATGTATCCATGGATTCGTAATGCTGAAGAATCATTTGCAGGTATGAAACATCTATTTAGTGCATAGTCATTTTGAGTGGATATCTAACTCAGGTCAGCTTCTGCAAACACAGCATTCAACAATCTCGGCAAACTCGTTTACGGATAAAGTGATAATAGTTTCAATCTTGGTTTCTTATTCAACTGGTAAGCAGGAAAATAAGCAGTGGAAAAATTTCAATAAGAAGAAGTACTCTAGTGAAGGAGAACACAGGTGAGGGCAACCGAATTGTATTTAACGAAAATTACAGAGTTACTCAGTAAAATAGGAATACCATATCGTAAACTTTAATTTGCGAATCTTCAATCCATCATACAAATTCCATTGTGTTTTCACTCTTCCTTTCTTGATCTTCCCCCATCTTCTGCTGCCAGACATTACGTTTACACTCGCGTCATATACTATTTATAAGTAGCGCGCACCACACTCGTCCCCCATTTTAATAAGCTGTCGTCGTAGTCTTTCTGATTGCCGTACCGTTGTCATCTTTGGTGCTTTTCGTGACTCATACACTTGATAATCTTGAAACCATCTCTGCAGTTGACTAGCGTTTACGCGCTTCTGCTTGTCTTCTCTCCGGATCGTGTAAACCGCGCCGCGTCTCTCCGTGATAACATACGGTCCTTCACACTTTGGGATCAGCAAAATCAATGGTAACTCTCCCAATCTCCTCCTTTAGATGCTAACCATTCCTTTAACGTCCGGCTGTTTCTCTCTGTAAGCCCGTTTATCTGCAGATGATACGGTGTAGTTCGTATCCCCTTGATGCCAAACTGCTTTAGACGGGCTTTAAACTCGTCACTTTCAAAACAGGGACCCTGGTCAGTTAATATCACCTTCCGTATTCCGTGACACGCCACAATATGCCGGATTACCACTTCGTTCATTGTTGTTGCCCGCTGGTCTGGAATGGGTACGGCATCTATCCAACGTGTAGCGTTTACTAGTTCCCGCTGCTGGGACACGGCGGCAGGCACACTCTCGATAAATTGCGACGCCAACAACTGTGCCTCAGACTCCTCATCGATATTCGGCAACGCACGGCGCAATAATCTAGTGAGCTCCACAGCAAGCACCAGCGGGTCACCATCAGCCGACAGTCTCACCAACCGGAACTCCTGCAGCGCCTTCTCCCTGTCCACTGGGCTGTCGAACTCCGCCATCAGCCGCCTGGTGATCGTCTCCCACGCCGTCCTGGCTGTCGTATACCACCTTTGTCTCACCTCCCCGCAGCGTCCTCAGCACCACCGATTACTGTGTTTCTTTTGATTTCATATGTAGTTTAAGTTTTTTTAGTAAAAAGTGACAAAAATCATACGAATAATGAGTTTCTTTTATATAAATAAATAAAAATTCAGTTAAACTTTTGATGATTAAAAAATGTTTGTAATATTCACGGTTATTTGGGTGTACATAATATAAAATATACCATGCTGACATACAGTGTAAAGTTTGTTGAATGAGCATTCCATCAAATAGTTCATTACATGTCTCTTGATATGAAATAATATCACTTCAGTCATAACGTTAAGCATTTATAAAAAGTTATTATGAAACGCAATTATTTTGCATATCTCAAGAAAATAATATTTCATTAAAAAATTTATTTACGATAGACGAATTGAAAAACATCTTTTGAAATACTGGTGAAGCACCAGTGTGTTGAGGCCATTAGATGCCCAGAACTCACTTAGAAAGATCCTAATTTAGTAATTTTATTCTGAAATTTTCAAATTCCATGTTTTCGCGCCCGTTGACCATCAGCTCACATTTCCCTTCCGGAAAATTCTTGACTGTCATTGGATGATGGATTATTTTGGTAAGCTGTTTTGTGGCTCTCCCAAGGTCGTTTCAATCATGTATAAATAAGCTCGATTTGTACTCTTGTCAATCTTGTATTTTCTGGGTGCTTGTAGAATACAATTTCTATGCCCTATCAAGACTTCTTGCTATGGTTAGCCGTGGCGGGAACAACGGACTAGAATAGCTTATCGGGTCACTCCATCATTGATCTGCGCTCCATTTAATGAGTAAGGTGAACTCGTAATAGTTCCAACCATATCCATTGATGAGCATATCACAGCGAAAATTAAATTATTAATGAGGATTGTGTAAATCTTTCCATTAGTGATGTTTAAGGTAGCAACCAAAGTCAATCAGTTATGAGGAATTAGAAAATTCATTCTCGCTAGGTGGGCTTAGCTGTAAAGTATTCGTAAATTAAGTGAAACATATAAATCATTGATTAAAGTCTGTAGCCAGATTTAGAAATCGAAGTAACGTTTCATGATCACATTTTTTCAAATTCTTAGAGGAACGGCAGTTTATACGTGTAAATTTAACGATGCAACTGTTTAGGGCTCCGTGTATCTCAATGCTTCTAAAGCTTATTTGGAATTTCTTGAACTGTTCTTTCCTGTAATTGTTATCTCGTTTGGGTGGAGGACGGACACAAATAGAATGTTAGGAAACACCTTATACTTAACGTAAGACACTTTTCACACGTGTTACATCAACTCCAGATTTTAAGTTCATCCAGGTGATGAGTCACAAATAGGATAAAAACGCTTGTCTTGGTTCCATTGCTCTATCTATTCCATGTTTATTTATCTCATAATAGCAATATAGAAGCAATGCACATAGGATGTTCATATATCGACTACAATCGATCAAATTTCACTTACATTAATGACAATATTATACGGTCATGTATGACCAATGTCATAGAAGTTACCAAAGTTTAAATATTACTATTGAAAAAAATCGTTTTTTCAATGATTAAAGTATTATCATGACGATTAGTGGAACCTCATTACTTGTTGTTAAGGATTTCGAAAACTGAACCCCTATAAGGTTTCACATTTCTACGTAACAAAAAAACAACTGTTCATTAAAAAAATTATAGTCACCATCAGTACAAACATTAGTATTAATATCACGTGAATCACAAAGGAAAGTTTAGTGCAGCATTCATGAATAATCGAAACACTAATCATAACTGTAAGTGCTAGTTAATTTAAAAATTCATGTCAGCAATTACTCACATACACTAGTCAGTTATTTTTTAAACTAAGTTGATATATATATATATATATATATATATATATATATATATATATATATATATACATAATGTTAAAGTAAACCAAACAGTTGAGTAAATAATATATGGAAAAGATGATAATGTCACTTAATTTAGCCAAAATGTTTGTGTATTTTATTGGAGACTCATCAAGGAAAAATGCTGTATGATATTCTGACGTTACTTAGAGACCGTTCTTTTTCAGGCATACATTACAATCATCAACCACTAGATACATTTTTTCGCCCTATAAAATAGGGTAATTGCTAAGCAGTGAGAATTCCAGTTTCCACATGGAATGGAGTCCGTGATCTTCACATTCAGCAAGCAGTTAACATTTACAAAACTAAACTAGCATTCTATGTTGTATGAGTCAGAGTTCATTCACTTCACTTTCTTAAATACATTATAATGGAAGATTATAAGCACAGTTTACAGTGTATGACAGTTATTCATGTTTTCATTACTTGAAAGTTGTAATTATAATGGATCCAGTAAAATTTTGTTACAATTCTTATATATTTTACAAGATGGCATCAGCCGTAAACAACCTGTAGTTCGCACAAAAGTATGAAATGATTCAGTTTTCCTACATTTCAGTAAAACAAATGAAACCAAGTCAATACAACTGATTTTGACCAATATAGTATAACATGTTTTGCTGCTCAACTGAGTCGCTCAACCCAATTACGAATCTTAATGTAAAAATCAATGAATTCAGGGTAAAATTGTTACATCATTCTTTGACTATTTCTTTATAAATTGGCTCTACAATGAAAAAGGATTATTTACAGGTTTTAGTTTAGTTTACTGTAATATATTTTTTAAAGTATTTTTATGTGTTTCTGTTGTAATTTCCAAAATACCTTTATAGTTATCTCATCAAAATATCATATATTTAACCAACAATGAGTTTAGTTATATTGATGGAATTTCAGTTTAATTTTTCAGGTAATAAATCATATTATTCAAAAAAAAATTCAATTTTTTTCGTGGAAAGTAAGTTTACTAATAAATACATTTATGCTAATAAATGATTTATGTTCATGCACAAAACATATTTGTACAATACTACAAAATACTGAATGATAAAAT